CCACCTTACTATGTCTTACACTCTTGTGAAGGCAAGGGCTTGCATCATCATGTATAATACATGGTACGTGTTCAATGTTTGTTGAACTGAATGTTTAAACTTGACCCTGTCTCTGTAGCAATAAAGTGCAGGCCTTCAAATGCCAAAAGTCATGTAATACAATTAAACAAAAATGCTTGTTTTTCTGTGAAGTTATTTCACTGTTTACTATGAAGAATTTAAAATGATTCTTACTGCAGCTGAGGACCATATGTCAAAACACTGTTCTAAAAACTGCAAATTTGGGAACTGAACTAGGAACACACCTTTTAGCATTTTTTTTCCTCAACTACAATTTAAAACACACCAAAGGCATTTTACAAAAGGGCTAAATTTAATGTGCTATATTTAAAAGATTTACATTTTTATCTAGACATAAACAAAGTACTTGAAATTTCTTATTGCTAACATCTGATTTCTCCCATTCTTGATCAATGGTACCTCTCAGTAAATGTCTACAAAATATCTTGTGGCCTCAAAATGCCCAGTTAACCTTTGATTTGTAAAGAATATAATGAATGCCTTAAAATGGAATTATCTCTTATTCCTAATCATAGTTTTACAAAACACAGTCCTTCCTTAAAGGCTAAATAACCAATTATATTTCAAAAGTAAATAAAGAGGAAAAGGTCTTCTACTTATTTTTCAGTAGCTTTGGTGACTTCCTAGGCAAACCCTTGTGTTTCTCCCTTGGTATTGAGTGTCACACTTTGATTTTAAGTCTATGACTGAAGAATAGGAGAGATCTAAAATCTGCTCCTTTACTACATATACTACCAAATTTCATGTAGGATAAGCACTGGATTAGCCAAGAAACTTGGTTTTGAATCCTGGAGCTTCTTATAACTAGCTGAGTGACCTTAAACAAGTGATTTAACCTATCTAGGCCTCTTTTGCTTCATCTGTAAAATGAAGAAGTCAATAATATAGGTAATCTTTAAGTCTCCCTCAATTTCTAGCAATCTATAATTCTCCAACTGTGCATATCTTTTGATCCAGCAATCTCACTACTAGGTCTGTATCCCAAAGAGATCATAAAAAAAGTAAAAGGACTTATATGTAGAAAATTTATAGCAGCTCTTTTTGTAGTGGCAAAGAATTAGAAATTAAGGGGATGCCCATCAATTAAGGAATGGCTGAACAAGTTGTGATATATGATTGTAATGAAATGTTACTGTGCTATAAGAAATGACGGGCAGGAAGATTTCAGAAAAACCTGGGAAGACTTACATGAACTGATGCAAAATGAAGTGAGCAGAACCAGAACACTGTATATAGTAACAGCAATCTTGTGCAATGATCAATTATGAATAACCTGACTCTTCTCAGCAATACAATGATCCAAGACAATTCCAAAGGACTCATGATGGAAAATGCCATATAGTCTGAATGCAGATCAAAACATACTATCATTTTTTTTTTTCATGTTTTTTTTTTTCCTTTTGGTCTCTTTCTTCTTTTACAACATGACTACTGTGGAAATATGTTTTGAATGATTGCACATATATAACCTATTTAAACATCTTACCTTTTCTAGAAAGGGGAGAGGGGAAGGGAAGCAGGGAGAAAATTTGGAACTCAAAATTTTAAAAAAGTGAATGTTAAAAATTGGTTTTACAAGTAATTGGAAAAAATAAAATATCATTTAAAAAAATCTATAATTCTACTTCAAGGCAAAGTCTAAATGAGACCAACAGCCACCATAGGCAAAGGGTAAATCTACTCAGGTACAGCTCAACCTCATTCTAATTCATGATGCTGTTTATCTGAAGCATGGAAGCATTAGGCAGCCTATAGAAGAGAGAATCTAGGCTTTTTCCCTTTGAGTTAGGTCTTCAGTGCCATTTTGTTTTGTTGCAAATATAACGTATTCATAAACAATTCATAAAGAAACATATTCACTATTCAAATAGAATAATGCATTCCAAAAGCAAACAGAGGAAGAATTTTTGATCATCTATGCATCAACTCGACTCTCCCAGATAGTTGACTATTCCCTGACACACAACACCAACTCAACTCTATTGTAATCATAATTAAGGGCATTAGCTATGTCTGAAATGTATCAATTCAAACAAAAACACTTTCCTATAGATTTGGAGCATCTCATTGATTGCAACAAGTCAGCATGTGAAAAAGCTCTTGAACAGTTTAAATATATATATATTTGCAACAGATTTACAATGAGCAGCTTCAATGTATTAGGTGCTACACAAAAGAGTATAGTTCTTGCATATCCTTCCCCCCAACTAAGGGTGAAGTATGCTAAATATAAAAGGCAGCCAAACATTTATCCTTGAAAAACCCAGAGCTGCTTAGGGTTGGATCTGGGCAGATTTATAGAGATGCGATTTTTGTGGTGGAATTTAAATAAGGAGTATGAAATCATAGAATAGATATTAAGTGGAAGTTTAATTTAGGTATCATAGAAGAGAAATTTAATGTGGACAGATGGCAAAAAGATGCTTTAGAGTTCTGAGAAGTGATTAAGTTAAAATAGTGGATGAGAAATATTTTCACAAAATCTTTTGGTGACAAGTGCAAGGGTGGAGTGAGCAAAGCACAAGAGTACAGGCAAATAAGAGGCAGATGAAAGATCTGGCTATATGAGCAAAGAAAACCCTCAAGAGCTTTGAATAAGAAGTAGCGCGAGGCAACATATTTTGTATCAAGGGAAAGACTGGTGGAGAAGGGAATCAAAAAGAGAGTATTTCTAGGTATAAGATGAAGTTACTCAAATGCCTTTGTGACTGTTTTCTCATCTTTAAAATGGGGATAACACTTGCACCACCTATCACACTTCAGTGCTCTAAAGACAGCACACAGTAAACCTCAAATTGCTATGTAAATGTAAGCTATTATAGGGAAAAGATGAGCTGAGGTATCAGGCTTAGTTTGCACTGTAAGGCATACCCAGTAAGAATATGAAGACAACTAAAAATAGAAAGAAATCAGAGAAGATTTCCAAAGACTTACAAAAAGTTGTTGTCAGATGTTTAACAAAGGAATAACTCAAAATTGTGTACAATGTCTTTTCAAGTTAATGTAACTTCCACATTCAGGGTAATAATCAGTAATGTCTAGTGCCACTAAAATGCACATTACATGTCTGTATTACCTTTCCCTCTATCAGATACTTCACAACTTTTCATTTAACATCCTGGTACTTTAAAAAAATCCATTTAAAAAAAGAACACTATTCAGTTAGATGTGTTCAGTTGAGAAAAAGGTTATAATAAGCCTGGGCATTACTGTTACAATGAAGAACATGCTAATTAATCTGTTATAAGCATAATGTTCCAACAGATTGTTATGCTTCACCCAAGTGGAGCACAGATCACTAAGGTCATGCTGCAGACCACATGGTCATTTGGAGGAGCCCCTGACTTCAGAGACCATTACTAACCTAGTATTTGTAGAACTCTAATTTTTCTTCCTACTGACCCCCACTGCTCCTGAATATCCCAGATGATGGTAATGAACGTACACTGTCATGTGCAGGACCAGCTGAGCCGCTGAATGAGAAAAAGGAGTAGGCAAGAAAGGAGCGGGGAAGCATCTAATCAGAACCACATTTTTCTTCCTCCCTTTCTTCACTTTAAGATGGGATATGACTATAAAATTATAACCATAAACATCACAAAATGTGCCATTTAAAAAACATAATGGCCAATCAAGAGCAAGGAAGTATGAATGATAAGATGCAAATTAACACCATTATAAAGTTTAGTGAGATTTAAAGATATTGAAATCCCTGGCACCAACCCTGCAATATTTGAAAGTGCAAAATAGAACTACATTTTTAAACTCATAAATATTTCTTTTATTTTTTTTTTCAATAGCAATTTTTTTAAAAGTAGTAACATTCTCTCCACTAAAGTTAACACTAAAAATTGCAGATCCTGGATGTAACTTGAAGTTCTCTTTGCCTTTACTAATGTAAGTAATGGTCAGACCAAATTTCCACACAATTTCCTGAAAATAGCCATGCCATTTTGGTTCTAAGAGGTATCACCTGTTTGTTTTTTCTACCAGTCAGGATTTGCAAATCCCCTGAATGATGAACACAAATCATTATTTTGCCCACTCAGTTATTATCATAGTGTTGGATGGGATCTCTGAAGTCACCCACCTGAAACTGAAATCCCCTTTTACGTTTCCAAGTTAATTACTGAGCCTCTGCTTAAGATTTCTAATGAAAGGAACTTGCTACCTCCCAAGATATCCCATTCCACTTTTGGATGCCTCTGTCGAGAAGTGTTTCCTTCCAGTGAGCCAAAATTGGCCTAAATTAGTATTGCTGTTCTCTTGTGCAGCGCCATTAGCTACTTTAGTAAAAATATTTAATTTCTTGCTTTTAAATCTAAAGGTAAAATTGTTTTCTTTTGACAGCAGAATCCCAATCCAAGTTTCTACCAGCTGATATCTTAAAAAGATAGGGAAGACAGAGAACATTCCATAGTATACACTTATCTCTGGAATTAGAAATAGTTCTTTAAAATGATATTAATAAATTATAAAATACAGCAATCATATTTAGTATTTTCATCACTGGCAGTGTCTTGAATGTCACTCAGTCTGCTTCCTCTCTTCACATCTCTCTCCATTCTAAACAGAAAAGCTCTTCTTAGTACTGCCCCTATAGAATCAAATAAAACGAATTCTGTATTTCATGTATTTTGTAGTAACAGAATTCTCTAAACAAGTGACCCATAAGCTCATTTTCTTTATTAAATACTACCATTTCCATCTCATAACTTACTTTATATTTAAAATTTGTCAACACGTGCCTTCTGGACACAAGGATGCATGGACAAAGCTGCTGTAAAATCATTCAGTTCTCATTGTGGAACTTTGCCATGCTTTTAAATGGATTTTGTTATTTTCTTTTCAGCTTGCATGAAGAATACAACTATGCTGGCACAACTTAGATTAAGCTTTTAAAAAAGAATCTCATAACCTGTCTTTAATTATTTATTAAGTGAAAATAGGTCAAGAAAAATGTTCAACTTTCAACGTTAGCCAGCATGTGATTTTTCAGGTACAGATGATCCCACTTGTGGATTACTCAGGCTCCTAGCGGCTTCTCCTAGGTCTCGCTCTTTGTTTTCTGGCCGTCTCATGGCAAACTAGCACTTCCACCAGAGGAGAGATGTTGAGCAGGGAATGGACTTGTGAGCAGCTCTGGAAAGAGGGTCTGTTGAGGGTAAATACTGGAACAAATTGAGTATTCATGGATTCCCTTTAGTCATCATCTCTTAATTTCTGTCCAATTATTACTGGAGGGAATGAAAATTGACTGTTTTTGATTGCAATGTGCCCATAAGTAGAAGCCATTATTCCCAAACACTCTACTGATGCTCTCTTTTCCGTCAATCTCATTTTCTGCCTTAACTGGGCCACACTGTGCTTTAAGATTGATCAGAATACACTACTATAGCCCCAAAGTAAAAAAAAAAAACAAAAACAAAAAAAAGAGTTGTTACAAATTCTACATACAGGCAAAATAGGTTTACTGGAATGTCTTTAGTCACAGTTGAAAGTAGCAGTATTGAAAACATTAGTTTCTCCATAAATATATGGAAACCATTTTCAAAACCTATTTTTTTACATGAGAAAAATTATACATTTTATAGTCATTAACTGAATGGTTGCCATCCCTTTTTACATAACGTTTCACCTCTTATCTCCCACCCTATCCCTGAACTTGATGCAATAAATCCCCACCTCTCTAGTTTACAGTAGGAAATTGTGTTAAATTATAAATATCATCATCAATGTTTAACTCTATATACAAATAACGTATTGGCAAGTATCTAGTTTCAAATCAGATTCCTATAACATGGCAAAGCAGATGCTTCTGTTTTAAAATAAATTAATGACAGCATATTTTGGTGAAGGGCAGGAGGTGAATTGGGAACTTGTCAATGCTCCAGTTTGAACTGGACACTTGCCTCTTTACTTCTTGAGAAAAAACAATTGAAAGTCATATACATATTTCATTAAATTATGCAGCAATCTTTTTTTTTTAAATTGTCCCAGAACTGTTTTACTGGAGATCTCTGGTCACCGAATCAAGTCCGATATTTCAGGACAATAGGAACTATGAGAGAAAAGAAAAACCAACAGTATGTCAATTAGTTAAGGAGCATTTATTAAGTGCCTACGACATGCCCAGAAAGTGTAATACAAAAATAAAAGTACAGAAGATCCTGCTCTCACAGAGCTTACATTCAATTGTAGATTATCTACAAAATGCAGATATATGTAGACATCCACAAAAAACATATAAAACAAAAGGCATTGGTGGGGGGGGTAGGGAGAAACAGTAGCAGCTAGGGGAAAGAGGAAAGTTTCATATAGAAGATAACACTCGAGCTTAGTTTTGAAGGAAACTAGAGATTCTAAGAGTAGGAGAAAGGCATTCTAGGCAAGGGGATTAGCTAGTGCAAAGGCCCAGAGATGGGAGGCCAGTTTGGCTAGGCCATAAGATTCATGCAGGGGCCGGAAAGACACATTAGGGCCAAATTAAAAAGCACTTTAAATGGCAAATAGAGGAGTTTATTGCTGATTTTAGAAGAGGTTGTTACCTGAATTTAAAGAGTGGAGGAGTAACATGGTCACACCTATGCTTAAGGAAAATCCCTTTGGCAGCTGTGTGGAAGATGGAATCATGTAGGGAAATGCTTGAGGGAGGGAGACTAATCAGAGGGCTACTGCAATTGTCCAGGCAAGAAGCCTGAATTGAAGAAGTTGCTGGGTAAGTGCAGAGAGGTATTCAAAGACCGTGTTGAAGTAGAAATGACATGATTTGGAAATTGATTAGCTATGTGGGTCAAGTCAGAGTGAATGAAATTCGACATGTAAATGCTACATTTGGCTGTCTACCTTTGGAAAGTGAAATAGAAGTTATGGCAAAGGTTTCTGGGTTACTTTTTTTTAACTTTTGTCTTCGACCTTATCCAACCAAACAGGAGATGCTATATACTAATAAACAATAATAGCAAATCAGAGGTCTTCAAAAGACTGTCTTGAGGAAATTTCAAATTTAAAAAATATCCACAGATCCCTTATAAAATAGGCATGGAAAGCAAAAATAATCTTATTTTGTAAATGGAGATATATTTAACTTTCTTGGTCAATCTTCAAAATGACAAAGTCCAAATAAATAAAGCCATCAAATATAAGTATCAACAACAAAATGGCCTGACAATATTCAGTCCATTCTTGAATCAAAGAACATTATTTTCATCGAAGCTAAGCAGCAGTGTGGAGTTGATGCTTTGGTCTAGAGCACAAGGCCAGAAGTCATGTTTCTAACTAGATAAATGACATGCCCTTAACTTAGTTATACTACATCAACTGGATAAAAATAAAAAAGCAAATTAAAGTCAACTCCAATGGATATTCTTCAATATTCTCCCCCAACAGCTATCAATACTTACTGATAATCACCAGCAAAAGGATAAAAGCAACCAGAGCCATGATGGCCTTCATCTGCAACACAACAAAAAGGATAGAAAAACCATTAATACCTGCTAATAACGAACAGGTAAGCTTTAGAAAAAAATCACAGTGAAATCTCAGTTAACCAAAATGCCCCCAGGAATGGGTTGTTTTTACTAATTAAAATTTATTTCAACCCACGTTGTTGAAAACCTGTGTAAAATGTTTTAATTACCAATATACTTTGATGCCTTAATAAATACAGTACTCTGCACAAGGCTGAATCTTGCAGGGTTATAGAATCATTATTTTAAATCAAATCCTCCTTGCAGAGGATTGTGAAGATTGAAGCTATGACTCAAAGGAATCCAGTTCACAGGAAGTACTAAGAGAACTGATATCTCCATTTGTTCTCATGGTTGCAAAAATGCATCACGGTTTTAAGCTTTTAACCATAATATCTTAAAAGGCCCCAAGGATGCAGGGTATAGGTGGGATAACATAGAGGTCTGTGTCTGGGAATCATTTTGTCCCCTCTCCTTATGCATTGTTCTCTCTCATTCGGAATCTCTACCTTTCTATTAATCTCCGTCTTAGTATTTTACAGTCTCTTCTTTAGGAAAAACTGAAGTGTATAATTTCATTATTTGTTGTCATTACTGACTAAAATGTTTTCTTAAATAATATTTTATTTTCTTCAATTGTGTGTAAAAACAATTAATAGTATTATTTATTAATAATACTAAAATGTTTAAATTTTTTAAAGACTAGTAGAAAATTATTTTTAATTTTTTTTACTCTCAAATTCTAAAACTAAATTAAGATTTTTAAAAATTTATATGACTTTAGATCAATTCCATTTTTACTCATTTCATTTAAAACACTTTGGATAAGTGGTCTTAGGCAGAAAAGAGGTTTCTTATCCTTGCTGGAAGAAATCAAGTGAAATCCACACCAACTTTAAAACATTTTGATGAAACTGATTTAAAAACAAAACAAAACAAAACAAAAAAAACAAATCTGTGATATGAGTGAGCTTTAGATATTTTGCCTCTTTATCCTAAAGGTGGAGTGACAAATATTTGGACTATAGGCATACCCCCTAGATGGTTTCATGAAAACATGATTTTATAGGGTATGTTTAATGTCGATACAGTATAGGAATAATGTTATAAACAGGAGATGTATTACTGTGCAGATAGTACTAGGGCTGAATGTAATAGAGCAGAATAAGTGAAGAACACTGAAGGGAAAGAAGCATATTCCAGACATAGTGGATGACCATTACAAAGGCATGGAAACAGTAGATGGAGTGTTGTGAGATAGGAAGAGCTAGAGGACCAGTTTATCTGTATTTTACCTAGAAGATATAGAGGAGAGTTATATACAATGAGGCTGGAAAGGTAGCATAAGACCAGACTGTAAAGAGCTTTAAGTGCCAAAGAGAGGACTTTTTATTTCATCTTAGAAATAGGAAGGAACCACTTGATATTGAGTAAGAGCATAACATAGTCAGACTGCTTTAGGAAAACCATTTCTCCTAAATGATTTTGTATGGCGGATGGATTGGAGGAGGGGGGGACTTGAGGCAAGGGAACCAACCAGAAGACTATTGTAATCATCCAGGTGAGAGATGATGGCCTGAACTAAAGTAGTGACTGTGTGAGTGGGAAGAAAAGGAAATATTCGAGAAATGTTGCAGAGGTGGAATTAGCAAGATTTAGCTGCTGACCAGATACAGGGGCTGAGTGGGAATCAAGTTCAGGATGACATCAATGTTGCAAACCGGGTGGATGGAAGGATGGTGGTACACTCAAGAGAAACAGAAGTTTAGACGAGGGCTGGGAATGTTCACAGTAAGCCTAATAAGTCATAGGGTGTGGTAAGACCAATAGCCTCACCCCCTCTTTACGTATGCATTTGAAAATGTCCTATTGACTGCTAAATACTAAAAATGAATTGATAAACTGATTTTTGATGACTTTAAATAGAAGTCCTCATGTAAAAATTTCTATAATATTCTACTCCCTTCTCCATGCAACTTTTGAGAAAGGCTAAGTTCCTTAAAGGGTATTGCTGAAACCATTCTTGAGACCTGATTGACTCAGGAGAATAAGGTAGTTGACTTTACCTCCTGGGTGTCGGAAGCCAAACAGCCTTACAAGCTTCAGTCTAGATTGGAGGCTTGGCTAGCCCACTGCACTAGGGAGCACAGAGGCAGGTGCCCTTCAGTCATCTGAATCGACCTGTTGTGTCCTTGATGCACACACAGCCTTGTGGAATAGCCTTCTGCTATGAGTTACTATAGCTCCTTTGGCTAACTCCTGAGTGTCTCACATTCCAGTATTTTTAAATAGTATTTTCTCTTTTCCAATTACATGTAAAGACAATTTTTAACATTCATTTTTTAAAATAAAATTCTGAGTTCCAAATTTTCTAGCTCCCTCCTTTCCCTCTCTAAGACGGTAATCAATTTGACATAGGTTATATATCACATTCCAACACTGAGCCTAAATTACCCGAGGGACCTGACTGAGTCAGGCCCAGCCTGGGCCTCTTCATACGCACTTGAAAATGTCCCACTGACTGCTTGGTACTGAAAAGTGAATTTATAAACCGATATTTCTTGATGACTCTAAACAGAGGTCTTCCAGCAAAAATGTCTGTAAATAATACAGAGTAGCTCACACTGAACAGAACACACATGGCTACAATCAGACAAAACATTTTTTTCGGTGCCACAAATTGTAATCACTCAGGACCTGACCGAATATCACTTAAAGACAAATCTGTAACATTTTAGCGGCAACACGTTCAACATTCTGTTGTATAAATATACAAAACTAAAATGAACTAGAGGACATCCTGTAGATCTTTGATTTGGATTATTTTAACCAAGAAAGAAAAAATGCAGAAAGCCAAGCCAGATGGAAACAACTGCCATATTTGGGGGGTGGGGGTTTCCACATACTAACTTAAGTACTTTAACATTTTTTGTCCGAACACTAAGTTGGTACGGACAAACTTCTAAGAGTTTTATAACCTTACCCAAAAAGATATATCATAAAGTCCTATCAAGTTGTGCTAGATTCAAAATTCAGAAGATAGGAAAGGAAATTCTTACATAACTTTTAAAACACTTCAATGAATAGTGTTTTCTTTCTGGAATATACAACTCTGCCAAGGACTGCCTAAATGCAACAATAGTAGTACTGTATCTGTTTGTGAGAAAGAAAGGGAAAGGGGCCAATTTAAACTAAGAGTCAAAGCTCAGGGAAATGAAAAAAAAAAAAGAAATTTAACTCTCCTAATTGTAACCACTTTCACTTATTTTATAAAATTATTTCAGATTTGTTAAAAAAATCTTTCTAAGTCCTTCCTATAATACAATTTGGTGGAATTCAATACAATACAGCCTAACCTTGAACTCCGGGCAAAGGGGTTTAATCACTAGTCCTGGATGGATAGACTTTGTGATAAGGTTTCAGTTAAGATAATAAGATTTAAAGCTGGAAGATTAGAGATCAAAAAAAAAGAAAAAATTTCATTTTCCAGATGAGAAAATGAAGACACAAAGAGTTTATGTTCATTTCAATGAAATCTTGCTCACTTGAAAAAGTCACCTCATTATAGATACAGAAGCAGTGGTGTAGCACAGCATAAAGAGTTCTTAGAGTCAGAAAGAGATCAAACTTTTTGGCTCATTCACATCCTATGTAACTTCATTTCACTGAATCTCAGTTCCCAAATACGTAAAATGGTGACATTAATATTTATAAAGCCTACTTTACAGAGTTGTGGAGCTCGAATGGGAATATACATGAAACATGTAACAAAGTGCTATATGAACATCACTGTAAAAAAATAAGTATTTTCATAAGATCACAAAGTTAATAAGTAGCAGGTCCTGGATTTGAGCCTAAATCCTCTGGCTCTCAATCTCCTGATCTTCCTACAATATTATGCTGTCTTCTCTTTACTGAAGCTTTTGACACATACCTTGATGATTATATCAAGTGAGCCCTATTTCAGAGAATTAACTACATATAAAGATAGGCTTGCCAAATGTTGGTTTACAAGTTGTATGGTAAAAATGATGAAAAGGTCTACTAGAATCATTCTATTGATTTTCTATGCTTTTTTGTTTTTTCATCCTGTATTTTAGGTATTGAGCTGGGTACGTGGAGGGTAGAAGAAATACGAATTTAACTCTCCTTTTCTATTGATAATCTTCAAACTGTTAACTAAAAAAAAAGTATACCTCAATAAATCTTCAAAATCGGAATATGGTTTCCAAAGCCTCCTGCCTTTCCCAAGAAGGTAGAACTTGTACATACTTAAATCTGGATTAGCAAAAATTTCAGACTAACCACTGAAGCCAGAGCTGCCCCGGGTCTGTAGCTCACATATTGCCTTAGGTCATAGGATTCTTTCCCCAGATGGATCATTCTCCCTGCACCACTATTACAGCGATTAGTCAAAAATGCAATAAGGATGGAAAGGCAGCTCTGGCTGAAGATTGGCAAAGCAAAATGCCAGCCAGGGAAGCAATGGGCAGAGAAAGCAGAAAAACATTGCTAATCCCAAAAATGAGATTTGTGTCTGTTAACAGGCACTAACTACAAAAGGAATGAATCTCTCAAGTTCTCAAGAAAGCCAAGAATGACAAATAGGTCAAGGGGAGAACTGAAATTTCAAATTCATCATTTGAGCATAAAAGAAATATTTTTCCTCTAATGCCTGGTAGTCACGCTAAATTAAAGAGGTATGAATGGTTCACATCAAATTTTCTACAGGAATGTCTCTGTAAATATACTTTTCTCCATTAAAAATTTTTGTGAGACTAGTAGAATTGGCTGGAATGATGTTGGATACTTAGATTTTTGTTAAAAATGAATTTGCCAAATAGTTGATTTCAACATTGCCTACTATTTTTCTTTTCTGTTTGTTTGTTTAAAATAACAATATCATTTCTTCCCATACTTTAATGGAATGTTGCATTTTTAGGTGGGGAACTACAGATGTGCAATACTGCATATACTACAAATAAGATCAATGTGATGATTGATTTTGCTGAACTGTTTTTTTCTTCTTTTCTGATCACTGTCATGAGAGTGGGAATAGATATATTCAGAAATGAATGTGATATGAAAAGAAAAGGCATCAATTAAAAAATATGGGGAAAGGATGAATGGACAAAGAATCCTGATGAGGACTTAGAGGGAGTGACTGAAAATTGTTATGATATTTTATGTACTGAAATTAATTTAAATATAACTAAACAAGTTCAGCTCACTGTGGGGCAGCTAGGTGGTATAGTGGATAGATGCCGGGCCTGGAGTCAGGAAGATTGATCTTCCTGAATTCAAATCTGACCTCAGACACTTACTAGCTGTGTGACCTTGGGCAAGTCACTTAGCCTTGTTTGCCTCAGTTTCCTTATCTGTAAAATGAGATGGAGAAGGAAATGGCAAACCACTCCAGTATCTCTGCCAAGAAAATCCCAAATGGGGTCATGAAGAGTCAAGTACGACTGAAAAATGAACAAACAACAACTCAGTTCACTGTATTGATGTTCAATATTAAGTTTTTAATAAAACACTTCACTACAAAAAGACCCATTCTTAAGGCTGCGAATGGTCTACAGAGGGAAAGCACAACATAAACCACGAGGACTACAGCTTTTCTAATATGATAAATCTATCTAGAGGGAATAAGCTATTGAAAAGATACTGTAAATTATGTTTTATAAAAGAACTGTGCGGCTCAGCTTTTGAAAGTGTTCTTGAAATCCCTCTGCTTCCCATTGCCTCAATAGAATTTATCACACCTTTTTTTTTTTTACTGCTTTACTTCACTATAGGATGATAACCCACCACCTTCCCGTGTACTCACTTTGCATCCACGCCACCACATTTGTCTTCGAAGCTGTTTAGATCTGTTGCTAAAAGCTGTTGCGTTATCTGATAAGCTTTCTAAATCACAGAGGAGACAGAGAATGATTAAAAGACACAGCAGGATATCCTTATCAGGTCACACAAGGACAAGAAAATATCAATTTCTAGTTCTGCAAACTTACTCCTCTAATCATAAATATAATATCACCCCCAAAGAAATGTTACAGTATCTATTTCAAATAAAAGAATTTCAAATGATTATGGTTTGATTATGTTGAACTAAGGCATAACTTTACAAATAGTAGGAGATTAATAAGTGATTCCTGAATAAATCAATGAGTACAAATCATTCCCCACAGGCATGAACTTCAGTGAGGAAATATTTAAAAATTAAGTGGCTTAAGTGTTTAAGTGATTAGGGGTTTAGACAAGAAAATGATTTACTATATAAGTTAGAGAATGCCAGGAACTGAACTGAGCCAAACCAGTGAATTTTAAAAAAACAAACAAGTTTCTTGTTTAAACAAATCTATAAAGGACAGACTATAAATAACACACGAGGAGGAAAATCTGTGGGTAAATGAAGGTAACCAAACCAAGACTAGCAAAACAAAGAGCATGAATGGTAGAAAAGCCTGACAGACCGTCTTGCTAAGAACTAACTAGTGAGCACAACTAAGCAGAAGCCTCTGACTCCTTAGAAAGCCTATTAGAATTCTAGAAGAAAATAAACTCTTACTCAAAAGATAACTTTTCCCCTCAGTTCTAATCTCCACTTTTTAGGAGGTGATCAAGTAAATACTTGACAGCTGATTTGTATGGAATAATGAAAAATTATTGGTAAAAATGTCTTACTTAAATGTACCGATGTTTTACTTAGAAAAACGCTGGCAACATTTAATCATATAACCAATTCTGAATTTTGAGTTATTGATGCTAATATTGTTTATTAAATCTGAAACACCAAAATAAGAATATAAGCAGTATTAGCTATAAAAAGAAAGTATTTGCACCTGATTTGTCTTGTAGCTCATCCAGTCTCTCCCCTCTTTCAATCACTTTTGTAATATTCTCTTGCATGACATCAATTACTTCATCCACCTGATTCTGTACACTAAATTAAAAAAAAAAAGCAACTATTCTTAGAGACATGGCAGCAGAAAGTACTACATTTTAGCTCTTTCACCTTAGTACCCATGGATCATACGAAGAATCGGCAATGACGTTTAAGATGCAGAAATTGGAAGTGGGGAAGGACTTGATTAAACCTATACGCAGAAAAAAATCCACATATAAGAACAGACCACAATTTTCTCTTCCTTACTATTCCCCAATTCATGGGTACATATTTTGTTTCCAACTCTTTGCTACTGTAGAGAGCACTACCATGGATACTCCGGTATACACTGGACCTTTGTTTCCCTCTTAAATATCCTTGAATGCCACCAGTGGGATTTCTGGATGAGAATATGAACCATTTAATCCCTTTTTTAAAAAAAGCATTTTTAATTTTGAGTTCCAAGTTCTCTCCCTCCAGCCCCTACCACACCTATTGTGAAGGTAAGCAATATGATACCCAGCATACATGTGAAGTCACATAAAATATATTCCATATTAGCCATGTTGCAAAAACAAACAAAAAACAAAACAAAACAAAAAAAACAAAAACAAGAAGAAGAACAAAGAAAGTGAAAACAATATGCTTCAATATGTTTCCAGAGTTCATCAGTCCTCTCTCTGGAGAGGGACAGCATTTTTCATCAGAAGTACTTTGGAATTGTTGTGGATCATTGTATTAATCAGAGTAGATAAGTCTTTCACAGGTGATAATCATTGAACTATTGCTATTACTGTATACAGTGTTCTCCCGGTTCCACTCACTTCACCTTGAATCAGTTCATATATGTTTTCCAAGGTCTTTTAATCACTTTTTGATAGTATAATTCCAAAATACTTTCCAGAATGGTTAAACTAATTCAATATTCTACCAATAGCATCCAAGTGTGCCTTTCTTCCTGTAGCCTCCCAAAATTGTTTTGTCCCATTTTTTTTTTATCTTTTCCAATTTTCAGAGTTCGAGGTAAAACTTCAGAATTATTTCAATCTGCACTTTTCTTACTACTAGTGAGTTGGGGCATATTTTCATATTGTCACTTTAGTTTGTGCCACCAACTGGCAGCTAAGTGGTTCAGTGGATAGAGCTCTGAACATGGGAGTCAGGAAGACCTGAGTTCAAATCCTGTCTTAGACACTTAATAGCTGTGCGATCCTGGGCAAGTCACTCAAGCTCTCTGTTTGTCTCAATTTCCTCAAAAATGTGGACAATAATAGTACCTATCTTCCAGGATAGTTGTGAGGATAAAATGAAATATTATTTGTAACACCTTTTCAAACTTTAAAGCACTATATAAATATTAGCTATTATTACTATTATTATCTATTGAAAATTCTTCATGTATATGATTTGGTCTCTTATATAGTGGTCATATATTTTATGTTTCTTCTCTAGATCATGTAGTGCTATTCCTCTCTTTCATTCTATTAAAAAATTTCCCCTGACATCCTAGATGTTTTATCCCCCCAAATGATTTTTTAAGATGTCTAGTTCTATAAAGCACTCAACTTTGTTAATCTGCCTGGTATTGAAATCTGTAGTTAATCTGAATGTAGAAGGAAATGGCAAACCACTCCAGTACCTTTGCCTAGAAAACCCCATGGACAGCATGGTCCATGGGATCACGAAGAGTCAGATACGACTGAATGAGTGGACAACAAAACAGAAATCTGTATTGTTATTTTTATTATACTAGCACCAGCTAATCATTAGAACTGAATATCTCTAAATTTATTTGTTTTCTTTGATTTCTGTAAAGATTGTATTTATAGGATCATAGGCCTAGAGCTAGAAAAAAGCTTTCAGAGGTCATTTAGATGAACCCCTTCATTTTAGAAATGAGAAAACTGAGAACCAGCGAGATTAGGTAATTTGCCCCAGGTCACACACAGAAGAACTGGGATTTGAACTCAGGTGCTCTGGCTCCAAATCCAGTGCTTTTTCCATTTTGCACGTCTATTATTAACTGAGCACCCACATATTTTATGTATTTTAGCCATTTCAAATGAAATTTCTATGAACATTTCTTTCTCTATTTTGGGGAGTTAGTAAAGCTTTTGATCATTTTAATTGGTTTCATCTCTGAATCTGAGGTTTTCCAAGTACAGTGCTGTGTCATCTATAAATAGGTTTAATTTTTGTCTACACTTTGCCAATATTTGCCTTTCATTTTGTTCTAGTCTTCTGACGTGGCTAGCATTTCTATAACTATGCTAAACTAACTATGGAGAGGAGAATGCAGTCTTGACTTATCCCCTCTTTGTACTAAGAAAGTTGCTAGTGTTTATTACAAATAATGTCAGCCCTTGATTTTAGATTGTATGCTTTTTTTATCATATTAAAGCATTTCATTCTTGTGCATTTAAGAGTCTCTAACACGAATGAGTGCTATATTTTGTCAAAAACCCTTTCTACGCCTACTGAAGTAACCAGGTGGTTATTATTTATATGATTGTTAATTATTTTCCAAATTATAAGCAATCAACCATGCTTACATCCCTGGCAAGACTCAAAATTTAACTGCACTAAATTATTTTCAGACTATATTGCTGTGCTCTCTTTGCAAGGATTTATTTTAAGATTTTGCATCAATAGTCAGTGAGAAACTGGGCTATAGTTCTCTTTTTCTGCTCTGTCTTCCTCTGATTTGGGTATCAGGATTGTGTTTGTCATCTCAAAAGAGTAAAAGAAAAGAAATTTTGTGAAGTAGGTATTGTTTTTTAAATAGCTGATGGGATTTGCTCGTAAATCGATTTGGTCCAAGGTCCCCCCCATCCCCACCCCTTGGCGGTTCACTTATGGCTTACCTTAATTCTTCTTTTTCTAAGATTAGGTTAAGATCTCTATTTCTCAAGGCTACTAACCAAGATGATTGCCTGACTGCCCAACTCCCACACAACTACTCCAGCAAAACTGAATTTCACACCAGACCAAATAGTGATCAAGAATTCAAATGAGGAACTACTTCTTCTACCCCAGAATTGCACAACAGGACAGCCAGAAGCCAAAGGGAAGTAGAAAAGAGGGCCACATGTAATGGGACAAGTACAGCCTGCAAGCCTTCTGGCTCAGAGGCCATTTTTCTCTCCACTATTCTGTACTGCTTTCAGGGTTGTGTCTCTCAAAGGCTTTACTAGAAAAGTACAACGTCCAAGCCAAGGAAGAGGAGTAGCCCACAGAATCTGAAATATGTCCTTCTTCCTAAGCTACTTTCAAAAGCCTAAACTCAGTTCTTGGGTAGAGCAAAGAAATATGCTCACTTTAAAAGCTAGAAATTGCAAAGTCACACAATAATTTATACAAAAATTCTGAGTTTTATGCTTTATATGACTTAAAAGGGGCTCTATGGAATAACAAAGAAAAATCTAGTAGTTGTACTTCATAGTTTATGTAACTTTATGATGGTTATTACCCTCTCCCAAGCAAACTTACTTGTGACCAATGAACTATTTTTCTTTTTATTCTTCTTCTGGGTATATTTGGCAAGTTTCAAAGTGGGAAAAGAATATTCTTGCCTACCACAAGATCCAATAAAACTGACCTAAGAAATGACTCTCACATTTCCACTGCAAATGCTGAAGTACTTCTGGTTTTAATCATTTCTGGATAGTCAACTCAATCACACATGCCAACAAGTGTTATAGAGAATCCACAGTCGGAAAAAGACCTAAGAAGGATCCTGAAGACTGTCTGGCATGCCTATTTTGCACCTGTTCCCTCATCCATGCTAGGTAGAAAAATGAATGAATGATGAAAACTTGACATGCTACTTCTGAAAAGAGACCCTTCCCCAATCTAAACCCAGAGCTATAACCAGTATTTCTAGCACTGATACAAGCACCACAAAGTGTGTGGGGGGGGAGACCTTGGACCATCACTGTTCAGGAGGTTGTCACTGAAGGGAAGAAGCAGGGCAGGGAGAGATGGAGAGATTAAGATGGGGTTAAGGAGCATAGTGGACAAGGATGGGGAACTCAACAGCTTTATATTTTAGCTTTCCTTAACTTCTCATTGACCTTAGTCAACTCTTAAGGCTAGTTATCTATCTCTAGTCATAGAAATTTTCTACATTAAGTAGAAGGAATTTCCTTTTTTTTTTTTTTGGCTAGGCAATGGGGTTAAGTGACTTGCCCAGGGTCACGCAGCTAGTAAGTGTTATGTGTCTGAGGTCAGATTTGAACTCAGGGCCTCCTGACTTCAGGGCCGCTGCTCTATACACTACACCACCTAGCTGCCCCCAAGTAGAGGGAATTTCATCAATCAATTAATCAATAAATCCAATCTGTTGCCAAGACCTATTGATCTCACCTTTGTAAATCCTCTCAACTATGCCCTCTTCTCATTCATCTACTAAAGTGATTTTCCAAAGAGATAGATTCCATCATGTCATTTGCTGCTCCTCAATAAATTCCAGTGGATCAAATATAAAATCCTTTTGCCACTATACTGCACTAATGAAATCATGGATGGGTCCATAAAGCAAACTGAGTGCTAACTTTAGTTGTTTCTACATGCTGAAGGAATACATTTGCTTAATGTCCTTTAAATGTCAAACTAGTACAAAACCCATCACTTCACTCTAGTTAACAGCTCCAACAAGGCCCACAGTCAGCCAACAAGCATTTATTAAGTAGCTACTATGTTCTAACCTGGGACTCTGCTGAGTGCTGGGAATAAAAAAAAAAAAAAAAGAGGCAAAAACAGTCTCTGCCCTATTTGTAACTCATGAGACCTTTGTCAGTATTAGGGTATATAGAGGGAAAAAATTATATGTATGTATATAGATAGATAGAGGGCACAGGGTGGGTTGTAGATAAAAGGGTAATATCTGGAGAATAAAATTAAGGGATGAGAGAGGATTATATTGGGAGGAGAAAGGGAGAGGTAGAATGGGGTAAATTATCTCACATAAAACAGACAAGAAAAGGCTCTTACACTGGAGCGGAAATGGGGGAAGGTGAAAGGGAATGAGTGAATCTTATTCTCAACGGATTTGGCTT